TGATGCCCATAGTGCCAGGCTTATTACTGGCCGTTTCAGAATCCATTTCCCATCTCTCAGGATATTTTCTGCTTTGCTATAGATGCTGGCACTTACTCTAGTAGCCTGCTCTGCTCCTGCATTTCTGGTGTGTTTCTGCAATTGGTCTTCTCTCACCTGACCAAGCTAGAATGACACGGGAACCTGAGGTGTGACAGTTTTCTTTCCAGTGGAGCTGAAGTTTATAATCAATTATTTATATGCATATGAATTTTGTTTTTATTAAGTTAATGCACTGATGTCTAGCTGACTTTCCTCCCCTGTCTCAGGGTGGCTATTCCTATATTAAAGGTACCAGGTCCTTTTTGGTAAAATATTTAAGGCCACATTCAAACAGAGCACCCCAGTAAGTAGGCATACCACGTCTCCTTAGAGCATCATCCTTCCATGCACTCCCTGTCCATCACTGTTTTCACCTTCACCAAACAGCTTCCACCCCAGTCACCCATCCCCTCAACCCCCACACTGCCCCTCAGATCCCTCATCCATCAATTCTAATACCCATCCTTCAGATTGCAGCTGCATTTTAGCCCCCACCCCCAAACCACTTTCTAACTAAATCAGAATTTCCGCAGGTGGGGCCTGAGCACTGGTGGTGTTGAGAGCTCTTGGGAAGATTCCATTGTACCCCTGAGACCTAGAGCCTCTGACTCAGGAAAGTATAGACGTCAGTTCTTTTACAGGAAGGCCAAGGCTCTGCCACCTGGACACACATCTACCTCACTGATCATTTTATTCCCAATATATAACAAGGCACGTGGCATATCTGGGGAACACTGTGTTTGATGAAAAATGGATGGATATCCTGAAGCAGGTTCGTGGCTTTCCCTGAGGCTGTAAGTTAGGATTCTTATCTGTTAAGCTCACCAGACTCAAATTGTGAAAATGTAAAATATTAAACTTACTGGTCTAGAAATTGTAAAATGAATACAATCCTGCTTGGTTCACATCCAGTTACCAACAATCAAAATTTTGAAATTCCTGACCACTATGCTTTTTAAAATTTAAAATGTGGGCCTCCCCTGTGGCACAGCGAGTTGAGTGCCACACTATGAAGCTGTCTGAAGCCTCTGCAGCGTTGGTTCGATCCCCAGCCAGGGAGATACCCACATGGCACAGCAGACCTCTCCTGTCTCGCCCACTGCTCCCCTCAGCAGTATCTTTGGTCCGTCTGCCTATTCTGCTCCCCACTCTGTCTCTGGTGAATTCTCTCACCCTCCCATGCCTCTGGCAGGTACCCCAGTTCTTGTATAAATAAATAAATCTTAAAAAGATAATTTCCCCTCTTTACATATTCATTGTGGGAAAATATAGAAAATGCTTATAATTAAAAGAAACTAAGACATATTTGTGTTTGCATCACCCAAAAGAACTGCTATGAACCCTTTATTATCTTTACATTCTTGATATAATAAATTGAATCATGCCTTATTCATTCAGCAATACAGTCTGAAATTTTAGTCTTGTCAATATATAATTTGTAGACAAGTCAGCTACACTAAATTGCAAACATTCCCTGAGAGGATCCTAAGACTTTTCTAACCTTGAGTTACAATGTTGCCCTTGGCTGCTGTCATGGTCAAATCCTTCATTAACATTTAGGTTTCAAAGAATGAACCTTAGAAAACTATGAAATATAGTTACTCTCTGGTGATGATTTATAGGAGCAAAAAAGGAATTTTAATGAAAATGGATGCTCTCCTCAGGGTTTTTCAGTCTGAAAGTCACAGCATTTTTTAAAGCAATACTTGCTTTTGGATTTTGACTGAAGAAAAATCACAGTAAGTCAACATATCACTGCTTTTTCTTTGGTACTGGCCTAAGCTTTTTGTTTTCTGCTTACAGCCGAATTGTAAACTTGACATCACGCTCTCTAGATTATAGTCAAGGAAACTGAGACAGGTTTAGAGACTCATCTTTCTTAGGCAATAAGTCACTGTTAATAAGTGACAGAGCAGAGATTCATGGATTTAAGTAGGGGATTCCCTGAGCCAGAGTTAACGACATTTGAAAAAATGTAGTGCTTGACTCTTTCCAACTGGACTGGAGCAACAGGCATCTCTTGGGACATTTGGCATAAATGCCATAGGATGGGAAGGGTTGGGGGGGGACAAGAGAAGCCGACTACAAGAAGCTAAAGCATGAGTGGGGACCCCCACAGACATCCCCATGAATGGCCACGATACATACACAGAGTTTGTGTACGGGAAGGCGACAAGAATTCTGAGCCTGATATTGGACACGGGGAGCCTCTCCCTGGCATCCAATGTTGCACATGCAGATGAGCATTGCTGATGCCCACAACGCATCCAGCAACGAGCTGGTCCACACCAGGAACCTGCAGACGAACTGCGTCGTGCTCAGTGACAGCACACCATGGGGACAGCAATAAGAGTCCCATAAAGTGCTGCCCCAGGCCTTAAGATGGGGGGCACACTGACTCCTGAGGGGAAGGAGACCTTAAACAATAAGCCATCAAAGAAAAATATGATGAAAGGAAAAGAAAACCAAAATGCACAGTCCTGTGGAGGGGCAGATGCCGCTGGGCAAGCTTCTTGCAGCTTTCGGGACCAGGCCAGCACTGACTAACAGGTAACTCGGTTCATTTTCCACAAGATTGTCCCTGCCTCCCTGCCTCAGATGCCAACTGCAAGTCTCAAGATTGTCACTTGTTCTTCTGACCTACCTGCTATACATCAGGGTTTCCATAACCTCCTCCTTGGAGAAACAACCGAAGTGCCTACTACTGTTGAATGGTTGGACAACCATGGTGCCTCCTGGGTAATAAAGGAACTTCAGTGACAGACCTAACGGCTTGGGTGGATCTAAATGGCATTATACTGAATGAAAAAAAAAATCAGTATCAAAATAGTATACAATTACCACCCCCCCAGCAGAGGATACGTTTCAAGATTCCCCAATGGGGGTCTGAAACCATGACTAGTATCCAGCTATATACTGTCTATACTGCTTTTCCCCATGCATACATGCCTATGGTAAACGGTAAAGTATAAATTAGGCAGACTAAGAGACTAGAAACAACTGAAACTAAAATAGAACAATTATATGAATATATTATAATAAAAGTTATGAGTGCAGTCTCAACCTCTCCTTCCTTCTCTACCCCTCCTCTCAGAATATCTTATTGTACCTATAATTTTCTAAACTCTGTTGACCAATGATAACTAAAATGGGAACTCAAAACTGCAAAAAAAGTGGTACGATGTGATGACATTCCCCCCCACACACACCACACACACACACACTCACACAGTATGTCTGTCAAATTCCTGCTTCTGGGGCCTCCCTGGTGGTGCAAGGGGTTAAGATGCAACCTATGAAGCTGTCTGCAGCCACTGCAGCACGAGTTCAATCCCCAGCTTGGGAGCTACCCACATGGCGCAGCAGACCTCTCCTGTCTCCTGTCTCACCCGCTGCTCCCCTCAGCAGTGCATTTCAGTCAATCTGCCTGTTCTGCTCCCTACTCTGTCTCTGGTGAATCCTCTTACCTCCCACACCTCTGGTCTGTGCCCCAGTTCTTGTATGCATAAATAAATAAATCTTAAAAAAAATTCCTGCTTCTGTATCGTACATAGTCCAGGAAGATGGATCACTGGGAAAAACTAGATGTCACATACACAGAAACTCTCTGTGCTATCTTTGCAATTTCTGGGTGCTATAAATTTTATTTACTAAGTGAAACTATTCTTTAACACAAATATTCATGTTTTATGGTTCAGGAACACAGATCAGTGCCAAACTCCCAGGGAAGTCAAGCTAAAGAAATCCTTTATGTTTCAAGATCAGTTTGCACCCTGAAGGATACCGACTGTCCTCACCTTCTCAATATCTCTCACGGAGCCATAACTTCTGCAGAAATCTGCACCTGCCTTCTTTCTTGGTTCAGTCACAGAAACTTAGAGGAAGCTGCCCTCTGGGGATGCAGTCAGTCTCCCACACCAAGAAATCCCAGAAGCTTGGCCAGAAGGTCACACAGCTGAGCTTTTGCCAAAGCACTGGTGCCCCTGGCAGTTACCTCCTTAAGGTGGGCTTCCTTCCACAATGTAACTATTTTTGAAAACACAGGGGAAATATTTAAAATAAATCCCATTTTTGGCCTCCCCTGGTGGCGCAGGCGGTTGAGCACAGCGCTGTGAAGCTATCCACAGCCTCTGCAGCGCCGGTTCGATCCCGGACAGCCAGGGAGCTACCCATATGGCGCAGCAGACCTCTCCTGTCTCGCCCGCTGCTCCCCTCAGCAGTGTATTCCGGTCAGTCTGCCTGTTCTGCTCCCCACTCTGTCTCTGGTGCGTCCTCTAACCCTCCCGCACGCATCTGGCCTGTACCCCGGTTCTTGAATAAATAAATCTTAAAAAAATTAATAATAAAATAAATCCCATTCTGCACTGGCTAGTTGTGGCCAACACTTCCTAAGAGGAGAAACCGTGAGCCTGAAAAATCTCAGCACTGTTTCGCACACAAGCGTGACCTAGTGCCAGAGAAAGTCTCCGGACGCAGAGAGAGGCAGCCAGAGAGGGATTCCTGCCTCGCTCGCCCTGAGGTGCGCAAGGGGCGTCAGCGCCGCCGCTGGGAGGTGAGCCGCGCGCGCGCCCCACCTCCCGGCTCCGGGAGCAGGCGGGTGCGGGTACCCCGCGGTCAGAAGACTGGGGAGCGCCCGCGACTGCCGCAGCACTTCGCCTTAGAGACAATCGCGAGAACTTTCTTTGAAGCGCGGACATTTGGGGATGGAGTCTCCCTGGCTTTGGCTTCCCTCCCCTTGAGTGAGGATTTGATCCCCGCGCGGTTTCAGCCTCCCGAACCTTCCGGGGTGCAGTCACCAGCCCTGGGGCGCACCTAGGTCGGGAGCAGCCGCCGGCCGGTCCCCTCGCAGCCGCGCCCCGGTGGTGAGCCGGGCACGGTGCCGGGCCAGGCGGGCGCAGGCGGTGCCCGGAGCGCGCGGCATGCAGTCGCTCAACATAACGCCGGAGCGGTTCTCCCGGCTGCTGCAGGACCACAACCTCACGCGGGAGCAGTTCATCGCTCTGTACCGCCTGCGGCCGCTGGTCTACACCCCGGAGCTGCCAGGGCGCGCCAAGCTGGCCTTCGTGCTCACCGGCATGCTCATCTTCCTCCTGGCGCTCTTTGGCAACGCGCTGGTGGTCTACGTGGTGACCCGCAGCAAGGCCATGCGCACCGTCACCAACATCTTCATCTGCTCGCTGGCGCTCAGCGACCTGCTCATCGCCTTTTTCTGCATCCCTGTCACTATGCTCCAGTACGTCTCCGACCACTGGCTGGGGGGTGAGTCCGTGCGCCCTCCTGCTGCCCCAAGCCCCGGGCTTCCAGGGTCCCGTGCGCGCTCTCTGCTCACGCCCTTATATTTCTCCCACCACCAAATGCATATATTGCCCTTTCTAAAAACTTCCTCACCGCACACACTTGGAAATAAGTTTGGGGTTTTTTGCGCCTTTAGGTTACGTCCAGCGTTTTTTTCCCCTTGTTGCTTAGAGTCACAGCTTAGGGAAATGCTTAGGAAAGGTCCAGAGCGTAAGGTGGGGCGTCTCAAGGTTTTCCAGGCACTTCAGCTCCCTTTTTCATAATACCAGGATTCCCCCTATTTTTGAAATGTAAGATAAAAATGTTTCAATGGATAACCTCACCAGCCCCACGCCTCCAGGCTCTCCCCAGCTGTCTCTGCAACTTCCAGATGAGGGTCTGTATCCCGGCACACATAAGGCTTCAAACTCTTCAGCAACAAATATAACACATTCATAGAGGGGAAAAATATCTTTCTCTGGTCCCTTTTTAAAAACTGGACTGACAGAGTCATGGAGGAGAGGGACATAGAGAACACAGGTCCTCCTGACAGACAGTGGATTAGAGAATTTCTTTTCCTCTTATAGAAACTAGTAGATGTGGCAGCCAAGCCAGCTGGAGACACTGAGGTGGAGGCAGTGTGGGAGGCTGGGAAAGAGACACTGCGCTTCCCCAAAGGAGCCTGGTTTTTCCAAAACAGCAAAGAATTCCTTGTAATCTAGGTGGACTAGTGCCATGTATTTTCCCCAGCCCTTCTGGTGTCCCTTGGGGAGGAGGCACTGCTTGTACCCCCATTTTGCTGGGTGGGTATTTTTTTGTGACCACATCAATATTCTTGGAAAGCAGTTGGAAATACAGAGAGAAGGAGAGAAATGGATCGTCAAGCTCTGCCATGGTCACTTCTTTGTATTCCTTTTAATCTCATGGAGAATGTCTCTTCCATCTCACCATTTCTGACTTGAGATCTTCAGAATATTTCCCTGGCATTGCTTTGCTCCATGAATGTGCAGACTTTATTGTTAATGGTTCAAAATGTTAACAGCATAGATTCCCATTTCACCTATAACATAAATATTTCCAAAATGCATTAAACATTTGAGTACACAGCACTGACTTGGAAAGTGACACATAAAGAAAAAAGTTGCAGGAAGTTCTACACATTATAGATTTTCTTATCATTCTGATAAATAATTGTAACTAAAATAACTGATATTATAGAGTTGCCAGGTGCTACTAACTCCATAAAATTAATCATAAAACTTTTGATCAACATATATAACCTTTTATTTTGAGAGAAAGTCAGGAATTTTCCATTCCAAATGCTTGTGAAGGCTTGTGCATGTTTGTATTGTGTAACTGGATCTCCATTTGTAAAGTGACCATAGTGAAGCAAAGTGGGATCTTATACTGGGAATCAAAGACCTGGGTTACTACTTTGGTTCTAAAACATCTTAATTTAAGGACCTCAGTTTTTTTAAAAAAAATAGTAACAGTGATTATAGAAGGTTGGGGTGCAATGAGGTAGATCTGTCCTTGGAGAATGAAGCCCTGGGAAGCTTAGAAGTGACATTCCCCTGAGAATGTAGGTAGGCATTGCAAAAATTTTTCCCAAATTTTGTTTTTTTTCCCTAATTCAATAAAAACATTCCATTTAGCTTCTAACTGCTGAAAAAAGGGTGATAATTACTTATATATTTTATAGGTTTAATGTGAGGATACAGAGTGTTCATAAAAGAGCTCTGAAAAAAATTGACCATGAAAATGTATTATTCTACTAAGGAATGTTTAGAGGGAGGTGGTCTATGTTTATCTGGAACCGGATTTGTAGAGATAAATATTCTTATGTAAATCGAGAAAGCAATAGCCAAAATTGCAGTTCCATGAAGAGAGTCAGCAAGAGGTACTAGAGATAGAGACAAACAGAGATCCCTGTACTTCAAGGATCAGATAAATAATTGCAAAACTCCCCTGGCAAATTAGCAAAAGAGAGTTCAATGGGATTCAATCTAACAGCTGAAAATTAATTCACAGTTTATTATTTCATGAAGCTCTCGTGGCCTTTCTTTAAGACAAACAGAGCATTTTACCTTGGGAACCCAAAAATAAATATAGCTCATGTATGACTTTGTGGGTCTTAGAGAATAGGAAATATTCCCCAAATGAGCAATATTGGGTTTTGCAAGAAGATCCACTCTGCTGTGGGGCATGGAAGGGTCAGGAACACTTTACCAAGACAGAGCTGTTGGAGTTGGATCTTGAAAAACAATTTGGACTGCTTCCAGAAGAGAACGGAAGATGGTGTGTGTTTTAGAACCAGGAATCAACCCTAAGTTTGGAAAAAAGAAAGAAGGTGAAATAGTTCAAAAAAACATACGTGAAGCATTTCAATAATATACCATTTATATGTAAAAACTGTTAGGAAATGAAACTTGTAAAGTAGGTTAGTGTACCTGGAGAGAATTTATATTAAAATTTATGCAGACTCTAGAATATAAATACCCCTCAGATTCCTTCAGGGTAAGGCAGGAAATGAAAACAAGGCAGGGAGGAGCACCAGTAGGCCTCAGTGGCAGGAGGAAGACTTGGTGCCTCTCCTGCTGGGGGCAGGTTGCCTGCAGGCAGGGCTGGGTGCTGGTGGTATTGTCAGATCTGTTCTTGTGGTCATTGTCATTGCAGTTGTTACAGAAAGTTGGGAACACACGAATGTTTAGGATGACATTTCATTTAAAATTTATAAATAGGCAATGAGGTGAAGGAAATGTCTCTGTGGGTTTGGCACAAATCATTCCTGGGCGTCCAGTCTGTGACTTCTCTACAAAGCCTGTGTCAAACACTGTCACAGTGGTAGGGCTGCAACGACTGGGTTTCTCCTTTTAACACTCAGCTCCCCCTGAGGAAGACCACCACTAAGGAGTCGGAGCTCTCTGTCAGACTAGATTCCAGGTGATTCATTTACACATGAAATGCTGAAAGGCACCACTTCAAATAAAGGCTCCAGACCTGGCTGCACAGAGGATCTCCTGAGGAGCATTGACAAAGGCTCCCTGCCAGCCTTGTCCACAACAGTTACAGGGAACTGTCTGGAGTTGTGATGACCAGCGGGGGGTGCTGACCAATGGCACCCACTGTGCACATGGCTACCCAGGTCCTCATTCAGGGACATATTGGCTTGAAATTGGTCATGGTGAGAATATTTACACTGTGGAAATCAGCAGCTATAACTTGGGTCTTTTTTAAAGAGCCAAAAAAAAAAAAAAAAAAAACAACCAAACAAACATAAAAAACAACAAAACAAAAAACAAACCTATTGTTTTCCGGCCTAGCACAGAGCATTGACATTGAGTTTCCTCTTGAACCGTGATGCACCATGAATGACAGGTGAGACAAAGTGTATTCAGGGACGTTCAGTTTAGTTTCACCATTACACTCTAGTCTGAAGGAGCCACTATCAGCATCAAGGGTTGTCAAGACCTGAGCATAGAGACCAGCTCAGGCTCCATCCCTTCTGCGGACCTCACATCACCAACCTGAGATGATCTGTTACAGGGCAGCATGAGGGGCACCCCAGGACCCCCAAACCTGCCTGCTCTAATTTGATCCTAACATCTGTCATATAAAGACAAAACTTATACTCTAGTATATAAGACATTCAATGGAAAGGACCTTTAATACGATTAGTGTGCTATAGAGAGGAGAGAAGAGAAAGGACAGAATAGTTTCCACACAAAACATCCAAAGTTACCCATCCCTTGTGAGTAAATGCCCAGCCAAACAGGGTTGGCCCAAAGCAGGACCACTGAGGCCCCAAAGTTTGGGGCGGTACAAGGCACCTTCCGGGGGGCACCCATAGGAAATGGGCAGAAGGGGCCAGGCAAGTCTGGGATGGAAGGAGCAAAATCAAAATCAAAATAAAGGCTGCCATCAACTTCCCCACAGTCTCACCCACATCCATTTCAAGTGTCTCCTTCCATGTCCCTCAAGTCCCCAGCACAAGTCCAAGGCTGAGCAGCAAGCGCAGCTCCTTCACATGTCTCTCTGCTCCATGTGCCTCCTCCAGGTCTTCTCGATCTCCTTCCTCTGTTCTCCGAGTCTTGACACCAGCTTCTCCTCCCTGCTCAGTTCCACCCTTCCTTGGGTGGGGCAGGGAGACTGGAACCTCCCCTTTCCCTGAGGACCCCCCTGTTACACCTCTACCTTCACCCACCAGCTGACTCACTCCCACATGACTGCCAGAATTTCTTTGCAATATGGAGCTAGCAGGAGGGGGTTCTCTTTCCTCGAGTTTCAAAAATGGCATTTGCTTATGACTTTGCTTTTATTACTAACACAAAGATGGGTTGTATTACCACAGCAGTTACAAGCCCTGCCTGGGTTCTGTCTGCAGTCTGCTCTCACCCGCTTGGCCATCCTTCAGCAGTGAACTGGCCCATTGAACTTTTGAGGCCATGGAATTGACCAGTCATTATAGCTGCAGCCTGTTTTTCTCATTTTGCCTTTCTTCCTTCTCCTTTTTTAAAAAAAATCTCTTCCTCTGAGCCTCCCCTGGTGGCACAGGCGGTTGAACGCTGCACTGCGAAGCTGTCCTTAGCCTCTGCAGTGCAGGTTCAATCCCGGCCTGCTGGCGAGGGTCCCACATAGCGGGACAGACCTCTCCTGTCTTGCCCGCTGCTCCCCTCAGCAGTGTATTTCATCAGTCTGCCTGTTCTGTTCCCCGCTCTGTCTCGGGTGAATCTTCTCACCCTCCTGCGCATCTGGCCTGTACTCTGGTTCTTGTATAAAAATAAGTAAATCTTTTAAAAAAATAATAAAATAAAATCTCTTCCTCTAAACATATATAATGTTCCTCCAAATTCACTGGCTGAACACACCCTGGTTTTTTTTCCAGCTAAAGTCTTGCTTTAGCTGGTATAGTCTTGCTTCCGACAATGCTCCCAAACACTCTGCCTTCCTCCCTATGTCTCCATAAATGTCTCTTTTCCTTCTTT